GGCCGCCCCGCTCCGCACAGGCTGCCCCGCAGGTCTCTGCCGGGCACTTGACCCTGGAGAGTTTCGCTGTTAAGAAGCAAACCGGCCCTGCTGTGTGCTTCGTCGGCCTTAAGGCTGCGAAGTCGCCTTGGTGGGAAGGCCAGGGCTCCGGATGCAACAAGCCGCATCGCCCGCACCCGCTAGCTGTGGGGGAGACGGGCTCTTCCACTACCTATTCCCCTCATCCGGTGCCCAGAGACTTGGGTTGATCTGCTCGATGACGGAGAATACCATGTACTGTTTAGAACCTTCGGCAGGGTCGGGTCAGGATAACTGCCCTCATAAACCTAATGTTGTAGAAGCCAACATGTGAGGTGTGGGCCTCCAAGACTGGCAGCCTCTCTCATTGAAAGGACAATGGGAGAGGCTCTTCCTCCAACTCCACCCAAAGACACTCGTGGACAGTCACATATGCACCTTGCCCCAAGGCCTGCAGTGCCTTCTTACACACACATATATCCTGCGGCACAATGTACACACACCCACTACAGTGCCCGAGATGCGTGCTTTGGGAGGAAGTCTATGCCATCTCTAGGAGCTTCCTATCAAAGGGCACACACTTGGGCTGGGCTCGGTGGCTCAGCCTGTAATCCCAGCACTTTGGGAGGCCTAGGCGAGTGGATTGCCTGAGCCTGTGGGTTCGAGACCAGCCTGGGCAGCTTGGCAAGAACTCGTCTCTACATAAATTTAAAAAAAAAAAAAAGACACACACTCCAGAACTAATGTATAAGGTCCACTGACTTGTTAATTGACATTTTGGGTGACACATGACGGTATGTTATGACGGGCAAGAAGAAGACCCAAGACCCATCAGAACTGGTGGCCCTGGTCATGGGCAGGTGAAATGAAAGGACAGTGAAGAAAGAAAAAAAACCCACACACAGGTAAAAGGTACCAAGAACGAAGTAAGCTACTTGAGAATTATGCCTGGAATCATCTCTGCTCTTAAATGTCTTCCCCTATTCATTCTTTAGCCTAAGGACTGATTTTTTTAACGAGACAAAATCTTGTGCCGAGCCCTGTGTGCAATTCTGAGCCTTGGTCACAGTGAGGGTGGCCTGGGGTCCTGTCCTCCTGGTCTGTCCTCTGCCATCCCACCATCCTTCTGTGCAAGGAGAGGCTCTCCAAGAGCTCTCAGAAGCCCTTGCCCTGTGGAGTATAGGTGCCAGCAGCATGTCTGGAATTAAAAGATGGAGGCCTGGTGAAGTGGGGCCTCCCCTTTCCTGCAGCTCCAGCAGATGCCCCAGAAACTGCCCAGGAGGCTTTTTCTCTCAGTCATGAGGTTGGTTTTTCCTGTTCTCCCACCAAAAGTGAGCACAAGCTCTGGAGTGTTCCAACCTAAACGTACAGGCTATGATCAGTGCACATCATAAACCATTTGTCTTCCTCGAATCAAAGAAATCCTCCTCAAGGGAGTATGCAGTCATGCAGATGCCGTTTTACGATGTAGACATCCCCATCCCATCCACTCACCCCACGGAACTCAGTTGTGAGGATGTTATGCTCTAAGCGCGGTGAGGAATCATCATGGTTGTCAGCACCTTGACATCTTTATTTCCCAGGTGGTGTGTGCTTCAGTCTTTGATATACTTCGTGCTTAACTTCACCCCTCAATCTCAGCAATAGACCTCAGAGCAGAACCCCATATAAGACCAACTGAAAATGAAAAGTCATTCAGCGTAGCATAGCAACTGCTGTGTCCTACTGACAGGGCCAAGGGCATTGAAACATACTAATATTAGTTACTAAAAATAATAAGAAGGCCTATCTAAGCCCAGTCTTTGCAGGAAAAAACAAAAACAAACAAAATAAACACCTGCTGGCCTCCCCAGTCCCTGGTTGATTAAACCTCGTTATTATAATCTACCCATACTTGGTCTTCAAAGTCCGGGTTACTGTGTGGCGTTTGCTACGTGGTCACATGTGTTTTAGTGCTACAGAGTACTTTCACATACTCTAGTGACTTGAGTCTACCAACTCGTTTCACTCCTTAAATATCTTTTAAATTTTTTTCAAGACTTTCATTTCTTTGGTTCGGGAGCTACACTGGAGTAAAGAGAAGAAAAATTGTGAGGAAAATGTGTGAAATAACTGCTTGGAGAGCAGGCTGCAGGCTCTGCCCATGCCCTTGCTCTGGGCTAAGTCCTTTCATAAAGCTGTCCTCTGAGGGCCTCTTGTTAGGTAAGGCTATTGGAAGAAAGCGGTGCGAAATAAAAATGCCAGGGTAGGTGCTGGAGATGGGATTTCACTTAGAGTGCCAAGAGCAGTGGACCCTTGTAATCAGCTGCCGTAGATCCAGGGCTCCATGATGGATATGGCAGTGGAGATGTGCTTGTTTCAGGTTAGGTGACCTTGTCTCGCTTATTTATGATTATTATTAAGAGAAATGCTGGCTGTCAGACATGATCAGCATAAATCAAAAGCAACTTCTTTAAGAGAAGCCATAAGACTCCTCAAAGGAAATTCCTAACTAGATGGCTAGAGTTTACAATTACGAGAGATGTCTGCAGCTACAGAGGAGACAGGCAGTTATCTTTTATCTGAGATGGCTTTTGAATTTGGAAAATTTTAATGCTTTAGTTATTTCCATAGTTAAAGTAAACGAAAATTACATTACTAGGAAAATAACCTTGAGCGCTCTGATTCCTCTGCAGTGCATGTAATAGCAGAAACAACCTAACATTACTGGTTCATCATTTTGGTCCCATTCTTAGAGATGTTTGTTACTGGGAAGTACACAGGACTGTGCATGTTCCATTGGCCATAGCAGAGTGTAGCAAGAAAGCAGGAGACTTGGGCTGTGTGACTTTTCAGGAATAGCTATCCTCTCTGGGCTTCAATTTTCTCATATAACAAGTAAAGTAAGAAGATTGGTAGAAAACAGATATGGTCTCACCACTGCCCATATCATATGAGACTATGCAAATAATATTAAAACTATTGATGGTCATATGTCACCCTTTCCTTAAGAGGACCCATAGTCAATTGGATTTATTTTCTATTGTGAAACATTGACCAGGTATCTTCTATGCTCTTAGAGCTCGGTGATGTGGAAGTCTTGGGTAGGGAGCATGGAAGACAAGGCTACTGTAAGAAACTTGTAATCTAATTGGAGAGCAAAGATGAAAAGCCTGGAACACAGAACAGGAAGGGAGGTACATTGCCAAGTGCTGAGTGATATAGTCAGGCCTCCACCAGTGGAGGAGGCATTCAGACAAAGGCAGGATCCCGTAAGTCCAAGGCTGCAGAGAAACATCGGGATTGAGCTGGCTGTGGAGGATGCTTCCATCTGGACAGGCAGAGGGGGTGGAGTGCATTGTGGGCTAGGGCAGTAAAAACGGGGCCTGAGGGCAGCATAGTGAGAGTAACTTTAAAAGGGGGGTATTCCAAATGAGTGCAATGAGAGATAGAAAACAGAAATCCAGATTAAGTTATACCTTGAACATCTGGGAACTATAATAGCAGTGCACTTCTTTCTATAGTCTACATAGTTCTAGAGAACTGCAGTGAGAATATACAATGTATTACTGCAGTTGGCAATGGGGAGTCACTATAGATTCTTGACCAGGAAGGTGATAAAGTGACAGAAACATCATGTTGTTTTCATTGATGGATTTTCATTGATCCATCCACAGTTCCTTGCTAGCCCCTCTGTGATCAGTGACGTGAAATTATATACGACCTATAGCCATGAATTAAGAGTGGTGACAGCCAGGACAGGTGGGTAACAAATGTATGTCCTGGCCAGGGTGCCTGTAAGCTGCTAAGAGGCCATAAATCAGTGGCACACAGTGTATGCCATGGTTGCACCAGGTGAGTCCCACCCCGAGCCCTCAATCCTAACACTACCACATCCCTCTTGCATCATCTGTTACATATCACTTGAACTCTCCTCAGGCACACTCTGTCTTCTTCTTCTGGGCCCTTACGTTTCATCTTAATGTGGTGTGCTACCCCCTTGGCTTCTTTCTCTCACTTTCCTTCTCTTGGGTTGGATGGATAAGTTTGATAGCTAGGCGAGCACCTTGGTCTGAGTGAAGTTCATCCCCACTGCAAGGATGCCTGGGTTTGGTGTGACTCAGCATCCAGAAAACCCAGGAGTGAGAGATTGTCTCCCCGAAAGAGAAGCTACCCCAGGGAAGCATGTTGGTTCTGGGATGCACCCAGGCCTTGACCTGCCTGGACATGAGCTCCTACAAGGCCTGCTCTATACTTGACTCCACCTGCTTGGTACCCAGCATTGAACTCATGTAGGTTACTTTTGGATACCATTGATAGATTCGTTGACTGGCAGCATAGTCCTAAAAGTTAACTCATTTCTTTCCTATGTATTTCTGATCTTTTGTCCTATTGGTAATAAGTGCTTCAAGTGTTGAGTTTAGTCTACTATATTTTTTGTCATTCTAAGCACCGAACACTATGCTTTCCCTTCTCCTGGTGCTGCATAAACTTGACTGATGGGCCCATCTTGTGGGCTGCGATTGCTGCCTGTAGTGAATTGAGTTCCTAGGGTACCAGGTTCGGTTCACAGAGCACTGCTGTACAAATGCCTGTGACTAACTGATCCTCACCAGGGCCCAAGAGCACCGTGGTTTGCTTTGCCAACCCTCTGCTGTTCGTTTGGTTCTCAGGTGCATCCTGGTTTTGTTTTAATAACTTCAAGAAACGCAGTGGTCACTGACTTAATGAAAACTGGAGGAAGCCGAGCTGCTTGCTGGCAGATTTAAGATTTCCAGAGTGTTTCTAAGAGACAGATGAGAAAAGGTTCATTATGAGAGAAACTTTGTAAATATACAGTTGGGAAAAAAAGAAGAAAAGTAATCAATTCCCCAAGACACCAAGGAAGCTATTCAGAGCAGACCCTTGGAGAGAGCGGGTGGAGGTGGCATGGTGGTTCTGGGTACGGGGCTGAGAATCATAGAGCATGCGAGAAGGCCTGAGCTCTAACTAGAGAGCTTTGTAGCCATGGGGCATCCACCTCTTGCTCCTCTCCAGCTTGGGAACATTTGACTCTTGCATCAAAGCCTTATACCAAGCCATAGAGCCAAGACCATCATCATTCATCTGAGAGACCATGGAGCTGGCTTCTTGCTGGTAGAAAACAATCACACATGTTGATTCATATTCTCTCTTTCCTCTCTGATGTCTGCGGTTCCTTTCAACATTCATGCTTCATGCTTCTTAGTGCTTCCACCTTGAGTCAGTTCGGACAGTGGGTAGTGAGGGGAGGGCTGTGCTAGAGGGCTTTCAGGAACAGGAGTTTGAGAATGAAGAGAGCATATTTCCCAGGAAGTGTTGTGAGGCCTCAGCACTCAGAATGCCCGTGTCTCCTGACATTTGACCTAAGTGGCAACATCATCAGACTTCTGTCCGGACTCAGGGATGCTAAGAATGAAAGGACCAGTGTCAGACTTCTCACCTGGGCTGCAGATGATAGCGTGAGATGGACATGATGGGTCAGTGGCTCCTCTTACTCTATGCAGCTGTCGGCCAAGCCTGGACGTGAGAGGGGTCACAGTGCTTCTGTTCAGTGGGAGGGGACCTGGTTGGAGGATTCATTGAGGTACCAGCATTGACTTCCTCAGGTCAAATCTAGGCCATCTCATGCAGTAAAACTGTGTTGGCAGTTACCAGCCTAAGTGTTTTTGTACTCACTGGACTTCTACATGTCCAGACTGATTGCTAGGTGGTGAATGGGCAGGGAGTGATTGAGAGGAGGAGGCTGGTCCTAGAAGTGCAACCCCAGATCAGAGAGGTAGCATTCAATAGGCTACCACACAACTCTTGCCAGATTGGGGTGCTTCCCCCACACCTTCCTTAAAGCTGATGCTGTCCTGACCCCACCCGCAGCCTAGAAAGAAGTGATCACTGGCAGAGACTGGGTTCAGCAGGGAGCTGGGGGCATCTGCTTGACAGGTGGAGATGGTGGAGCGTGCAAAAACCTAAGGAATCTCATTTCCATGGGGGACCAGACCAAGGTCCTCTGATCAGTCTTCACCCAGCGATGGCATCACATGTTGGTACCATCGCTTCCTGTGCCCTTTTGAGCAATGTGAGGATACCATCTCTACCCATGAAACTCCCTTCAGGTCATTAAACTCCTTGACCTAACCACTTTCCCCTTTCTCAGTCCTCTGCTTTTCTGTCACCACCTAGTGAGGCTCATGTGTGCCTCTGGAGAGAGACAGGGGTAGGGAGACCGCCTCCATTGTAGGTGCAAGAATCGGATACCAGTTTATTCATGGGATTTATGTACTGGCACCCAAATTCAAAACTTTATGAGAATCCACAATACATGTTCGTTAGTGTGCTGGAAAAGGGATTCCTATCCCCCAGACCACAGCTAACTTGACATTAGGCACTCACTTCCCACCCTGGGAGGCACTGACATGGTGAGGAAGTTTAGAAAGTTGCCAGATGGCATGGAAAGAAGGCAGTGGAAATTAGATACCTGTCAAGTTATTTCTATTAAGCTATTGTAACCCCCATGAAATGTCATTCTCCAGTCAGGTTTTTTTACTTCTCTACTCCCATCTCATATGATGTCCTAGTGTGGGTATTGGAAGACAGAGGGTGGCTCTTTTTCCAGATATTTTCTCATCTGATCACATCCCACCTGTGGTGGCCAGACTCCAAGATGGCTCCTTATGATCCCAGCCTCACAACCTTGTATAGTTCCCTCCCATATGGTCCCAAGGTTGGTCTCTGTGCTGGAAAAGGCAGAAGTGATGGTGATGTCACTTTTAAGATTAGGTTATAAAACAAACTGCAGCTTTTGTCTTGGGTGCCCTCTCTTACCCATCCTCTCTGTTCACTTGCTCTGGGGAAAAACCAGCTGCCCTGTCATAAATAACCCTATAGAGAGGCCCACATGGCAGTGGACTGAAGCCTCCAGCTAACAGTCACATGAATGAACTTAGAAGTGGGAGCTTCAGCCCCAGTCAAGCCTTCAGATGAGTGCAGCCCCAGATGACTGCTTGACTGCAGCACATGAGAGACCTTGAGTCAGGACTACCCAGCTAAGTTGTTTTCAGGCTCCTGACCCACAGGATTATGGGAGATAGTGCTTGTTTTAACTACTAAGTGTGGGAGTAATTTGTTACACAACAGTAGATAACCAATACACCAGTTCTTTTCCCTATTTCTTATGCAAACAGATTCTTGGAAGAAGAATCATCCCAGTGATGCCTGGACATGTCTGAGGGAACTCAGCTTGGGCTCAAACACTGAGAGACACCCTCCCCCCATTACATTACTGACTTCAGTTTTAGAGGGGGATATCTCCTGACCTTCCTCGGGGTCAGGGTAGATAAGGAGTGCCAGTCATTCTCTCTATGGCCATGTAAACCTTTATCAAACCTAGAGAAAAGGGCATAACAGGAGTCTCTTCTGGAGTGTTTGCAGCCTAGAGGGAGCTGTCTGGATCACCATGCAGACGCTTACAGCTTCTCTCGCCCACCTACCTTCCTGAGGCCCATCCATACCCAACTTCTCCAGTTGTTTCACAGGTTCCACATTACAGAGGCTAGAGCTGAAACAAAAAGGCAAAGCAGTTTGCTCAAAGTCAACTAGCCCAATGGGGCTGCCGTAAAAAAAAAAATCAATGATATGGTTCATTCCCATTGTGAATGTCTTGGACACTAAAGAGATAGATGTTTGCTTTGCTCCAGTAGTTGATGTTTCTTAGTTTCATAAATCAGTGCCTGCACTCTATGGAAAACTGTGGCTGCATGTGTGTGTATAAACAAGATCAAGATCTGGGCTCTAAAAAGTGAGATTTGATATAAAGCCAGGGGAGCTAGTGCAGAGCATGCTTTGTAGGGGAAATTAACGCCAGTGAGCATTCCTTACTGTTTCCTAGAGGAGACATGCTCCTTCTGCTAATACCCTGTGGGTTAAACTTAAGTCCCCTGGACCATGAAGAGTTTAGTCTCTGTTTGGGAGGCCATGTGCCCTTCTCAAACCCAGGGTCTCTCTCGCTGAGGAAGAGGAGGGCAGGTATTGGGAGGCAGCTAGCAGCGCTTGTCAATGTGAAAGTATGTTGAATGGTGCCTGGCACATAATCCATGCTAACGAGTGATGCTGCTGCTGTTCTTATCTGCAAATAAACAGTGTTTTCTGGAACTCTTCTCACTACAATACCAAACACTAGAAACTTTTCACATATCCACACTTAGGATGTGCCACTGTGGCTCACAGTCCTAGGCCGGGGTGTACGTGTGTGTCACAGGTGGAAACAAGGAGGGAGTTCTAAAGATTTGGCAGGGATGTGCCAGAGCTTCCAGAGGTAAAGCCCGAGTGCTGGTTTAACAAAGGGGAGGGAGGGATAGGAGTGTTTCAAGAACAGCCTTGCCACAGATCCTGGAGTGCCTGGCATGACCTCATCCTTTACATCAAAAACAAAATTTGAAAGATTTAAATTCAGCACAAGTAACTTTGGGCTTAATTCCCTCCTTAGGTTCTCAGAGACGGAGGCTCATCCCAGCACTGTCTCTCGATACCTCCTCCCCCGTGAGAAAACCTGCCAACAGCTCTGGGGTCCGCTGGGTGGATGGCCCCTTGCGGAGCACCCAGAGGGGCCTCGGGGAACCCTTTGAGATTAAAGTCTATGAAATCGATGACGTGGAGCGCCTGCAGCGGCGACGAGGAGGCACCAGCAAGGTGAGGCTTCCTCCCCCATGTGGCATTTCCCTCACCAAGTCCCTGAGCAGGTGCCAGGGTGGTACCCTGAGGAAGAGGGCCCAGACCCAGAGGGACTTCCCAGTGGCTTCTGTGTGGGTGGCAGACAGTGAGCTTAGGTCCCAGCAGAGGGGCTTTGGACAGAGGATTTGGAGAGGACTCTGTGTTTCTCTTTCTGAAATGCCCTAAAGGCTCAAAGATGGCAGGGTTAGTGTTCTTGGGGGCTTTTCTTGACCCATGAGGTTTGCTGTCTTTTCCAGCATTAGTCCTGCCTGGGACACCATCTGCTTTCCAAATTTAAGAAAAGGAATAGTCCTTCCTACCTTGTGGTTGGGTTGCCTGAAATGAAACTTGGCTGAGATCACTCAGGCCCCCCATACTTCCAGCTCCTTTTCCCTCGACTCTACTTACAAGTGTTCCTTTCTGAAAGAGGTTGCAGGGGCTGGATTTGAGTAGAAGGTCCTTTTCTCCTTCCTGCCACCACCCCCATCTTCTTCTCTGTCTGTGTACTAGGAGGTCATGTGCTTCAATGCAAAACTGAAAATTCTGGAGCATCGCCAGCAGAGGATTGCTGAGGTCCGAGCCAAGTATGAGTGGCTGATGAAGGAGCTGGAGACGACCAAACAGTATCTGATGCTGGATCCCAACAAATGGCTCAGTGAATGTAAGGCCCGCGGTTCACTCCCATCATTGTGACTAACGGGTTCACCAGCTAGACAGGCCTGGCACATGGCCTCGGGTGAGACTCTTACAGGCTGGGTCTGCATCAAGGGCACATGATGCCTATCAAATGGAGATAGTCTCACTGAGTGAGCAATCCTACTCTCCTGGGGTGAGTGGGAGGGGCCGGGGGCAGCAAAGGGGTGGTGAATATTGCTCTTGCAAGATTATTTCTTATGTGTCTCAGTCCAAAGCACCTGAAAATGAGATTTTTCCCCCTGCATGTGGCAGAAGATCACCCAGACATGAAGGCTGTATTACAAATCTGCTCCTAGGCCACAAAATCACACTGCATATCTAGCCTGAAATAGACAAGAATTTATAGAGCTCTTAATAGGGTAGAATGTACAATCCTAGAAAAGCCACAGAGAACTCAGAAAGCAAGGAAAACATTTTTTGAGTGAAAAAAACAACAACAGCTAGTGTTATTTCCATTTAATAGAAAGCCCAGGATGACAGTAACCATCTAATAACAATTCAGAACAATTTTGTTCTCTTTGATAGACAGATTCAATTGTCTCTTATTTATTTGTTCCTGACCGTTCCATTTAGCACAAAATAAAACTTTAATCCAATCCCAACTATTACATTGATATGGAAACCAATGTTGGGAGACTTCGTCTGTGGGGTAAAATACATTTCTGTCATTAAATGTAGTCCCCTTGCCTCCCTTCCTCCTCTGGCCCTCAGCCTCCCATGCCTCCCTTGTGACATGCCTCCCTTGCACAGTATGCCACGCCACCCTCTTCCAGTCTTCCCTAGCGGGTGCGGAAAGCCCACAGACGGAGGCTGGAGGCATAGGTTTGCATTATAGAGAAGCTGGTTGAAACAATATTGGGTGAGATGATCCTGGATGCAGAAGAAAGTGGCAGGACTTGTCAGCCTCCTAGCCATGCCCCACCTTACATTCACTGGAACAGTGGTTTACAGCAGTTTCTCCTCCATAGATATGAGGTGATAGCATCTCCCCAGAGTGGGTTCTTGGGACTGTAACCAATCTATGGAGCCATGTTTGAGTTGCAGCATCTGTGGCTGTGACAATAGTCATACAGACCTGTTTTGGATGCTAGCTTTCCCACATACTGCTGTGGGACCTTGAGTAAAGTACTTAATCTCTCTGAACCTTGATTTTCCTAGCTGTGAAATGGGGGGGGGGGGGGGGAAATGGTGCCTATTCCATTGGAGTTATTGTGAGGAGTAAATTAGTTCCTGTTGGTCTACTGGCACTTATTACACTGCTTGGCCCAGGATGAGAACTCAGTATCTGGCAGTAATTATTATTATTATCCCAAAGTTCCACTAAATAGATGTTCTCAACAGGAGACATTTCCTTAGGTCCTGCTTGCATGACACACTGAGCTAGGTTGTCTGTTAGAAAGCTGGCCCGAGACATGGACTCTTCCTCCAAGGGCATTTCATTGCAGGCACAAATGGGGCAGGCAGACAGGCATGAGGACCTCAGCTGATAACTGACCTCAGCACAAGCATGGAACCTCGTGCTTATTTCTTTCCCCTCTGTGGACAGTTTTTCTTCTTTCATGAGTCCCTGAGTGCTTCAAGGTCCCAGGGGCATATATTCAGTTAGTTCTCTGTCATTTTTGCTATTTTCATTAAAGTTTTGTTTTTCAAGAGCTATTATGCCCAAGGCATATTTGGAAATTATCTTCATCTTACAAAGTCATATTTTTTCCCAACATGGGAACAAGCTTAAACATCAATACATACGTGTTTAGATGCTTCCAGGAAATAATCGTTTCCTTCTTGTCTTTGTACATGTCAAAAAAATCAGTGAGTTTTTGATGCTGAGAAAGAAAATGAACAGAAAGCTACATGAAAGGGGAAATACAGATTGTTTCTTTAAGATGAACTGAAAACAGGAATGAAAACAAAAATCAACGGGGCCACATACTGACTATTGCTTATGGGTAAGAGGCATGGAAATGTATGTGCCAGGATCTGTTTCCGCTTTTATTTTTAAGTTCTGATGCCACTTTCAACCACCAGCCTGACGTGGTTGTGGTATGCTGAGTTGTTTTGCTTTTTTGTTTTGTTTTTAAAATATTAGACTGGTATTTAGGGGCCATCAGTCTCCTCACAGCTGTAGTCCTGATTAACAGTGCCACTTGGAGCAAGTCACCTTATTGCCCAGATCTCAGGACGTCTGCAAAAAAAAGTCAGCTTTCATCATAATCCTCAATGTTTCTATAGCTTGGCACAGTTTTCAGACCAGGTTCACATTCATTATCTCATTTTTATTTTATTCTTCACAACAACTCAAAGTGGATAGGGTAGACAGAGTAGGAATAATTCTTCTTTTTAAATTTTACAGTTGTGGGATACAAATGAGGATTTACTTAAGTAAGTTGCGTGCAGGTGAAGTTTGGGCTTCTAACTGGCCCTCTCTCCCCCAACAGTGGACCAGGTACCCAGTGTGTTGCCACGTGCTCCCCTCCCTCTTCACTCCTTCCCTCCCCTGGCAATGTCCAGTGTCTGCCAGTCCCACCCTTGTGACTGTGTGACCAGTGATCACGGCCTGCTTATGAATGAGAACATACATTATTCAGTTCTTTGTTTCTGTGATAATTCACTTAGTATGATGGTTTCCAGCTGTTTCCATGTTGTTGCGAAGGTCATGATTTGGCTCTTCTTTATGGCTGTGTAATATTCCATCATGTATCTGTACCACATTTTCTTTATCCAGTCCACTTTTGATGGACATCTGTGTTGGGTCCATGTTTTTGCTATTGTGAATAGTGCTGCAACGAACATATGTGTGCAGGTATCTTTTTGGTAGAGTGATTTATCTTCATCTGAGAATATTCCCAGGAGAGGCACTGCTGGATTGTATGGAAGCTCACATTTTAGTTATTTGAGAAATCATCACACTGCTTTCCACAAAGGTTGAACTAGCTTACTTTTCCACCAAAGTGTAGAAGCATTCTTTTTTCTCCACAACTGTCAGCACCTTTTGTTTTTTGACTTTTTAATGATAAACGTTCTTACAAGTCTTAGGTGGATCTCATTATAGTTTTGACTTGCACTCCTCTGATGATTAGTGAGGTTGAACATTTTTTCATGTGTTTGCTGGCTGCTTGGATGTTATCCTTTGAGAAGTGCCTATTCATGTCCTTTACCCACTTTTTAATGGGTTTGTTTGTTTTCTCTTAAATTTGTTTGAGTTCCTTGTAGATCACTATATGTTAGGCCTTTGCCAGATGCATAGCTTGCAAATGTTTTTTCCTATTCCATGGGTCATCTCTTTACTCTTTTGATGGTTTCTTTTGCTATGCAAAAACTTTTCAGTTTGATAAGGTACAACCTGTCACTCTTAGCTTTTGTTGCATTTGCTTTTGAAGACTTGACCATGAATTCATTGCTTACTCCAGTGTCCAGGAGGGTGTTCCTTAAATTTTCTTCCTTTTTTTTTGTTTCAGTGGTATGTTTAGTAAACAAATGCTTATGACAGATTTTCACAACAGCAACAAATCCTATTTCATAACATCAAATCTCCTTTACTAAGGAAAAAAATGGCACTAAAAACAAGGTTGATGAATTTTGATTATTTCTTCATGTTTTCTGAGAGTAAAACCAGTGTCCTCACATGTTTTCCTCTGTTTCTTCATTTTGAAGATTATCTATTTTAATTTTCTTTACCACCTCTTTGACCATGTGTCCTGGAAGGCAGCTTGGATTTTGAAAGCAGGAACTTTCTCTTTTTCCTTATCTTCTTCAGAAGATTCTAAGATGGTAACTGGGGTCTCTTCCTCTTCCACAGATGTCTGAGACTTTTCTTATTCGGGCTCACATTTCTCAGGTGATTCTTGCTCCTTGAATGCATGGTAATAGAAGCAGTCATCTACCTTAGCCCCCCTTCTGCTGGTTCAAAGTTGGTTTTCTCTCTTTTCTCTAGAAGATTTTCAAAATATGCTGCAGAAAAACCTGGTATATTGTCTAGTATAGTTTGAGGTTTTAAGTTAATTTCTGTGTATGGTGATAGGTAGGAATGCAGTTTCATTCTTCTGCATGTGGCTAGCTAGTTTTTTCCAACACCATTTGCTAAATATGGTTTCCTTTCCCCAGTGTTTGTTTTTGATGGCATTTTCAAAGATGATTGAGGGACCATGTTTTTATTTCTAGATTCTCTGTCTTGTTCCACTCGTCTGTGTGCCTATTCTGTGCCAATACCATGCTGTCTTAGTTACTGTAACCTTGTGATAGAGTTTAAAACCTGGAAGTGTGGTACCTCCAGCTTTATTCCTTTTGCTGAGGACTACTTTAGCTATTCATGCTCTTTTTGGCTTCCATATAGATTTCTGTATTGTCTTTTCTAGGTCTGTGAAAAATGATGTTGGCACTTTTGATGGGGATTGTATTCAGTCTGTAGACTGCCTTGGGTGGGAGGGACGTTTTGACAATACTGATTCTTCCAGTCCATGAGTGTGGGATGTTTTTCCATTTGTTTGTATTATCCTTGATTTCTTTGAGCAGTGTTTTGTAGTTTTCATTGTAAAGGTCTTACTCTTCTTTGGTTAGGTAGATGCCAAGGTATTTCATTTTTTTGGTGGCTATTGTGAATGGAATCATGCTTTTTACTGGGTTCTCAGCCTGCTTGCAGTTGGTGTATACAAATGCAGCTGTCTTTTGCATGTCCGCTTTGTATCCCAAGACTTTACTGAAGTTGTTTATCGGTGGGGGGAGGTTTTTGACAGACTCTCAAGGGTTTTTTAGGTGTGGAATCATATAATCTGCAAAGAGAGTTCCTGATTTCTTTCTCCTGCCTGATTGCTCTGGATAGGACTTCTAGTACTCTGTTGAATTAGGAGGGGTAGGAGGGGACACCTTATCCTGTACGTTCATGTTACTTGTAAGGAAACTGTGCTAGCAGAGGTTAAGGCCACAGAGCTAGTGTGACCAAGCCGGGAATCAAATGCAAGTGTCCTGCCTTAGGTTCCAGGGACACCCCATCCTTGGCTGCCATCCATGTCTGTCTCCCTGGTCCTGGGCCCTGTGCTGTACGCCTGGAGCCAAGACCAGGCAGCCCACCTCCTGTCCCACCACCACTGGGCAGTAGGGATTGACCCCAGATACCCACTCTTCAGAAATTGAAGGACAGAGGCTTTTCACTCTGTGTAGGTCTAAACATCAGGGAAGGCATCTGGATTATAAGTCTCAACTTGCCTTCTAAGTTTAAGGAATCTTTTTTTTTTTTTTTTTTTTTT